CCTGGCATGGTCTCCCAGCAAGTCTCTGTCAGGCTACCTCCTTCATTTCCTTCAGGCCTTTTCTCAAAAGTCACCTTCCCAATAGAACTAACCTTGGCCATTCTACCTAAAATTTCAAACTGCCCCACCTTCAATTTTCCTATGTTTTCTCTCCTTAGCAATCATCACTACCTAAAATACTACATATTTTACTTCTTTGTGTTGTTTCCGATTTAAATATCAACTCCATAAGGGCATGGTTGTATCTTTTTCACTGCTCTATCCCCAGAACCTAGCACAGTGCCTGGTGCACAGTAGAAGCTCCATAAATTATTGTCAAATGACTAAATGATGATGAAACAACTTCTTAGAAATTCCTGAAGTAATTTTGGACTTCACCTTCATGATGGAACTTCGATTTCCATTGGGTTTTTGACTCCACAGGAGAAGAGCTTTCAATTTTGGACTTCAATTCCTTTGGACTTTAACTTTGGAATTTTCACTGGCAAGGGGATTTAATTTGTAAACTTTCTGTCTGTGAAATTTATAATAGAAAAGGGTTTATACAAACTGAAGGCATTGCCATATTGTGGGTATTTTATTAATATTTATCTTAAAGTTGTCATATTATCTCCCTGCTACCTGTATGATGAGCCTGCTGAACAATGTGACATAATTAGGGATGAATTTTTCAGCTTCGGGTAATTTAATTAATGCACCATCTCTGAATTTGACATTGAAGTTCATTGTTCACTTATTCAATAAAATGTCGTCTGTGCCTAGGTATGCTGTGCTCATTCATTTGAACCAGGGGTAAGTTGCAAATTGGAGGGCTGAGAGCCATATCTGGTCCCCCACCTACTTACTGGGGGGCTTGCACATTGTTTGAAACAAAATGAAAATCGATTTTTAGTTTTGCTAAGATATAGCAACACTAGGCCCTTCCTTGGTTCTGTATTTCTACTGCCTGCTTTAGAAGGGTCCAACAGTCTCCATTTGCCCACAGTCCACCTCCAGACATCCAATCATGCCACTTCCCTGGCTGCTGGAGAAACACTGCTTGTAGATGCCAGCATCTGCCCCCTGCTCTGGGCCTCTAGTCTTAGAGGGCCCCACTTTCACCTTTTTTTTTTGTCTATGCTCCTTCTCATACATCAAAAAGTCTGAGAGTCCTGTGCCCACACTGAGCTTCCTCTAACCTTCTCCTAAACCCTGACAACTCTTCATGTACCAGGGATCCTGGAATTCCCTGTACAGCTTGTCTGAGCTGAAGCAGGAGAACAGGATCTGGACGCAGGGAACCTAAGGCTGATTGCCGCTGACTTCCTAGAACTAAATCAAAAGGAAAACTCCAACTTTTCACACTTAAGTAACAAAAGGACCAAAGGCTACTCTCTTTGCAAACCTCCCCATTTCAGCATGGCAGATGGAAACCTGAAAGCACCTTTAATTGGTTGCTTTCCACAACCAATCAGACATTTGCATAGGAATATAATTTTGTGGCCGGGCGCGGTGGCTCAAGCCTGTAATCCCAGCACTTCGGGAGGCCGAGACGGGTGGATCACGAGGTCGAGAGATCGAGACCATCCTGGTCAACATGGTGAAACCCCGTCTCTACTAAAAATACAAAAAATTAGCTGGGCATGGTGGCACATGCCTGTAATCCCAGCTACTCAGGAGGCTGAGGCAGGAGAATTGCCTGAACCCAGGAGGCGGAGGTTGCGGTGAGCCGAGATCGCACCATTGCACTCCAGCCTGGGTAACAAGAGCGAAACTCCGTCTCAAAAAAAAAAAAAAAAAAAAGGAATATAATTTTGTGACTTCAGTCTCTGATTGGTCTCTCAGATAGCAACCAGTCAGACTGATCGGAGGCAACTACTTCATTTGCATAGGATGTATGCTGGGTGCCCAGTGGAAAACCACTAGAGGGTATCTGGACCCCAGAAGATCCTGTAACCAGTGTCGTTGAGCCACTGCTCACCCACTCCCATCCTGTGGAGTATACTTTCATTTTCAATAAATCTCTGTTTTCACTGTCTCATTCTTTCCTTGCTTTGCTGTGTATTTTGTTATTTGTTCAAAATGCCAAGAACCTGGACAAATTGCAGTCAAGACCCTCTACTGGTAACAGGGCCACTTTTAGCGCCTGTGTGAAACCTTGCCTGGGGAGATCCTCCCAAGGGCAGACAAAACAGTTCTAGTGTAGGGGCAGGATGGTAAAGGATGGAGCTGGAGCAATGTGGGCCTGAAGATAGGCCTCCTAAAGACATCCACATCCTAGTCCACAGGGCCTATGAATATGGTGCCTTCTATGGTAAGGAGACTTTACCAATGTGATTAAGTTAGGGATCTCAGGATGGGAAGATTATCCTGGATGATCTGGAGAGGCCCAATGTAATCACAAGAATCCTTACGAGAGAGGGAGGAGGATCAGAGTCAGCAGTAGGAGATGTGGTGATGGAAGTAAGAGGTTGTACTGATGAGATAAAGGGGCTCTGAGCTAAGGAATGTGGGCAGCCTAGAGAGGTGGCAAAAGGCAAGGAAAGACATTTTCCCCATGAGGCATCCAGAAGGAATGCAGCCCTGATGGGACCTTGATTTTAGACCCTGATCTTCAGAACCACAAGATAACAAGCTGGCATTGTTTTAGGTGACTACATTTGTGGTTAATTTTTTATAGCAGCTACAGAAAACTAATACAGCTTGATTGCATGAGAGTCCTGCCCCAAAGAGCCAAGGATGGGAAGGAAAGAGAAGGTGAGGGGCTGCAGGTTTCTATCTGTACTGTTGCCTCAGGAACGCTCAAATGTTAATTGATAACAATCATTAATTGAAAACAATACAGGCTCAAAGTCCTGTTTTAATAAAAGACTTAAACCAAAGTCTACACATGTGTACTAATTTTTAAGTGTCATATCTGTGCAATGACGAAAATTCTAGGTATTGTTAGCATAATGACATACAAGTAATCCTCCCACTTTTGTATTTGTTATAAAATCATTCATAAGTGTGTTACAAATAATTATTTAATCAAATAATGAAAAACCAGATGCAAGCAAGAACAATATTTTACTGGGGCTTGATTTCATGTATCTTTTTGACAAGCTCCAAACCCAATTTCTCTATATCAAAATTTCTCAAACATGTACATGTGTTTTCTGTTCCCAGGAAATAGACACCATAGTATTTTATTTTACAGTTTGAAAATTGAGGAAGTTAAAAACAGAAAATATACTAGTTCATGAGCATGGGCACAATCCTAATTCACCAGAATAAAAGGGGACTGAATTAGATGTTGTGTTCTTTCCAACTCAGCCTCCTATCATTCTCTTTATTTCATATACTTAAACATTTCCCATCTGAAATATAATTACTTCAGTTTAGATATAAATAAAAATGACTTTTTTTCCCTACTAAAGAGCAATGTTAGAAATGAGTGTTTCAGAGAATAGACAGAACAAATATCTAATAAGAAAACCTTTTCCCATAGTTTCTGGCTTATCTTAGGGGATTCTGTTAAAGTTTGGCTTGGCTGTGCATGTACTTCTCAAGATCTTTTTGTTCACATAAAGTTCATATGAAACAAATAAACAAGAAAAAAAATCACATAAAAGAGAAGGCACTTAATAATCCTTTTTTTTTTTTTTTTCAATTCCAATGATTTGAGTTGTTACTTTGCTTGAACTATTTCAGGAACTAGGCAAGGTTAGCAACTGAAACTGACTTTAACTCATTGGCGCACACCCATGCAGTGAATTCCCTTCTGGAAGAGGCCAACTCAGCACTGCTGCTGCTGAGATTCATGTACTCTACACAAAGGTTGGACTTAGTCAAAGCACTGACAGAGTCTTGTAAATTCTGAAAAGTGAAAGATCATCTGTTTGTTTTGTTTTGTTGAAGGCAAAGGTCTGGAGAAACAGGATTTGGCTTACAGGTCAACCTCTAAAGATTCTCAAGAATAAAGTAGAGAAGAGAAAATAACGAGGGAGTGAGGAAAGAAACAATCTCTACCAAAAAGGTTCAAAAAGGGTTCAGGGGACTATGCTCTACCAAAAAAAATAAATAAATAAATAAAGGAAAGAAGAAAATGTTCATGAGATATCTAAAGAACAGCTGGCCGAAATTGACCTGAAAAATGTAATTTCAAATGAATGTTCTCTCAAGTCTGGAAAGAAACCAAAACCTTATTATAAATATCCTAGTTGAGGTTTTAGAAAAACAGTATATGAAACTGCATTTCATGTGCTTTGAGTGCAATTTAATTCTTAGGTTTCCCCTAAATTCATCCCTGGAAACAGTAACTGATAGCATTCCTGGCACAGCTTAACAAAGAGCTTCGTCTTTTGGCTGAATCTGTCCTATCTGCTGTATGGACCATACATAGTTTCCTCAGAGCTTCCCAGTTCCTGTCCCCTTTTAGAAAGGATGGAAATGATATCAGCACTCCCTCTTAATGGGCACTATTTTTAAACAGAAAAATCTGGAAAAGTACAAAACAATACAGAAGTTTTTTGTTTTGTTTTGTTTTGGTTTTTTGTTGTTGTTTTCCCCCAATCGGCCTTTGTGCAGCTGACTTGGCTTCTAACATACCTCCCTCCTCCTAATCAAAATTCTAGATTGGGACTCATCAGCTTCGACAGTGGCCCAGCACAATGCATATTAGACCTCAACACAGTTCCCCTCCTCAGGGCTGGGACCATCTGCAGGCACTTACTTCAGCTGTGTGCCAGGGCAGATGTTCCCAAACACAGATATTTTAATCCTCTGGAATTCAGAATTATTTTTTCCATACCAATAGCTGGATTTAATTTTTTTAAGAGGAAATACTATAGTTAAAAATAAAAAGAGTTCCAAAATATTTAACAGAATTTGAGGAATGATTATTTCTAAAATGTAAAGATTTGAAACATAATTTATATAAAACTAAAAGCCAGAAGGATTCATTCTTGCTTCTTCCTTTTTAAAAAAAAATCCAGACAATTTGTCACCAGAAAGTTCAGCATGTGATAGCAGCTGCAGCCTCAGTCACCCTTGGAATCACTGTCCTTCCTTCTGGGGACAGAGCGCAGCACTGAGGACAGCAACACGTCTTCAATCAGCTTCTTAGGGTTTTCCTCCAGGTTCGTCTTAATTGTTCCAGATTCAGACAGTTTCCACTCCAGCTCATCTCTTGTTAGGTTCATGCTGCCAAACATCAGAGGATCGATCAACTGAGATTTGATATCTCCTTCCAGGTAAAGAAATATCACGGGCAGATTCCTTTCAGGATAACTGGGCATGCAGGTTGTTGAAACGGCTTTGATAAATTTGACATCAGGAAACTTACTGGCAAGTCCACTGAGGTGCTGATTTATCAGGGCACAGAAGGGAATTCCTTGTTTGTAAAGGTGCAAGATGACCCACAAGCCCTCACCAGCTTTGGTGACTTCTTGAACATAGTTATTCCCTGAGATCTCCAAAATTTCTCCAAATTTATTCTTCAGTTTTGTTGCTTTCCACTCAGCCAGTCTCTGCCATCTGTATATTTCAATAGCACGTTCATCCTCCTCATTAAACTCGTCTTCATGACCCTCCAACTCTTCCAAAGTCATATCTTCATATGTTGTCACCACTGACTGCTGGAGGATGCAATTCTCCCCTTCTGTCTCCTCTTCCAATTCTTTCAGAATTTTCTTGTGGGGTGAGATGCCTTTTCTGCATAAGATGTAATTCCACTAGTGCCTGCGTTGGTCCTACATCTTGTTTCCAATTGCTCAAACCTGTTGTTCTGTGGAATTCAGATTTTCTAAAAACATGTTTACAATTTAAATTTGGCTGACCCTTGCAGATATGTGGGCCTAAGTCAATCAAATCTACATTATGATAAAGGCTAACGTCCTTCCCTTTCTTAATCAAGCATGAAAAGGTGTAGAGAAAGTCCACAGTCATTTCTAACTCTTTCTCTCTAGTAGTCTTAAATCTATCTTTCATGCCAAAACTATATGTCATGGAGGAGCTGACGTGTTCAGAGCATGATCCCAATAGCAGGAAGTGTATTGAAGAATGCCATCCTTTGGGCCTCCGAGCTGAGCCTTTGTGTTTATCTAATCAGTTCTCACGTTGTAAGAGAGAGAGACTCTGTAAGTCCAAAATGAGGAGGAATGAGGATCTCTGCAAAGTCTCTCACCTTCCACTAATGCTTTGCTTCTGTGAGCACCTGCATTTCTCTGCAGTGCTTCCCCCACCACTCCTCTCACTTTTCTGCTGTTTTATTTTGCTTCATTTAATTGCTTTTTCCCTTCGGCATGTTGCTTTGCCATTGACTTCTATGTTTTAAGCCAGCAAAATACCTTTCTTTCTTCTTTCCAGCAGCTTTTGGCCTCTGGGGAAGCCTTAGTCATTTCTGTACTACATTCCAAATCAAAATAAAATGAATAATCTCCAATGCCTTGGAAGGGGCTTCCCTCGATTTTCATTGAGAATGGCTTCTTCTTTCCTCCCAAGGTTTAAGATTACTGGAAGAAGGACACTGAAGATGGTGAAAGTTCCAGAGCTCTGTCCCTCATCTTCATGGTGGTGTTTCCCAATGTGTGAAAGGCAAACCACCGGAGTTACTCAAGACAATTTTAGTGGTACATAGTTATGGTGGATTGTGGTTGTGTATTTTCATGTGCTTTACAAAAAATTATAGCTGGCACATCCAATTTCAAAGCTATTCACAGCTATAACCACTGCTTAGGGCAAGTGCAAGTTAAAATATAAAGAGGAAATTGTTTAAAGAAAGACACTAAGTAAAAAATACTATAGCTAAAATGTGATACAGTAAAAATCATGGAGATGAAACCTGAATGACAAAAGCCTGGGAAATGCTGCTTGAGGGAAATGACTGGACCTCGGAAGAATGGGACATGATGTCAGCTCTGGACATACTGCCGCCCCCTTTGCAAAGCCCTGAGCTTGGGGTAGAGGGTGGGAAAGCAGCTGTTAGCCTATGAATCACCAAGCTAGGATTCATAATTTCACACCAGGAACCAAAAATACACAGAAATGTTTCTGGATGGATAAATCAACTTTATATTTTGCTATAACCAAGGACAGCATTGCCATTAAATTTACAATGAGAAGCACCCTGATCCAAAACTCTTTCGGTGTAGAGGCTAAAGCCTAGAACAGTCACATGAGTTGGCTCAGTTTCACCCCAGGAAATGGTAGCAGAACTAGAGCTTAGACTTCGAACATGATTCGTTCTAAATCCTTCTACTATACTTTGCTGCTAGATGTCTTTTATATGCCCTAAAAGTCTTACCTGCTCTGAATATATCCAGCCAGATTTTAGAGAGTAGTAGGAGATAAAATCAGAGAGGTCACATGGGGTGGGGGAGATTGTGTCAGAACTTGAAGGCCCGTTTGAGGACTTTCAGGAGGTTCAGCCCAAAGGTGGAGCTGATAACTGTATCTAGACACTAGAGAATTAACAGTAAACAAAAGACACAACAAACTTTTCTATTGTGAAGGTTTATGTGTTAATGAAGGAGAAAGTCTGGTATCTGAAATTGCAAATCACCTACGTCTAACTGCCAAATAAGCAGCAGCCCAGGATGAGAGGATACACACTGGGAAGGGTTTCCATGGGTTATCTGGCCAGCTGGCTGCTGATGGCCTCTCTCAGCATTTCCCCACATTTTTGCTATATCCCAACAACCAAAAGCCCCCACATGAACAGCTGCACTTTCCTTAATCAATTTTTGTTTTTTTTTTTTTTCTGAGACAGGGTCTCCCTCTGTTGCCTAGGCTGGAGTTCAGTGGTACAATCATAGCTCACTCTAACCTCCAACTCCTGGGAACAAGTGATCCCCCTACCTCAGCCTCCTGAACAATGAGGACTACAGGTGTGCCCAGCACACCTGGCTAATATTTAAACAATTTTTTGTAGAGATGAGGTCTTACTATGCTGCTTAGGTTGGTCTCGAATTCCTGGGCCCAAGTGATCCTCTTTCCTTAGCCTCCTAAAGCACTGGGAATACAGGCACGAGTCACTGTGCCCAACCTCTTATCCAATTTTTAACTCCTCTCCTCTTCCTAAGTAGAAGAGGAGGGAGAAGGGTAAGAGGGAAAAATAAACTGACCAGAAAGAGAAAGGAGATAAATAAATGGGAACAATAATTCTCCTACAAAGTATTTTAAATTCTGAGCTATGCCAGGCTAAGCATGTTACCTATGTTAATATTTTATTATTATATCATTAAGTTGACAACATAACTGCATAATAATAATAACAAGCCAGTACTGAGAGTTTGCTGTGTGCCGGGAAGTAGTCTAGACACTCTGACCAACTTGATCTCACTCATTCCTCCCCACAACACCATGACACAAGTACCCACTATTATTTTTCATTTCACAGATGAAGTACTGGATGATCAGAGTAAAGTCATCTGTTGCACATCCCACAGTCAGTAAATGGCAGAGTCCAGACACAGATGTCAGGATGCTGGATTCCAAAGTCCTGGCCCCTTGTCCCGTTCAGGGAACTCCTCTCCTCAACAGGAGGCAGCAGCTAGCTCAAGCTGTCCAGCCAATGCACCCTTCACACAGGATTTTCCTTCCTGCAAATGTTCTTCTAAAAAACAGGCACCCTCACTGACCCTGTCCCTTTCATCACTTCATTGTATTTTGTTCTAAGTGTTCTGCTCAGTGCTCCATGTCCCCTGGTTGCTGGGTGAATAACTCCGGTGGTTTTTACTAGATTTCCACAACCACTGTGGTCTGCCTATCTTTCCCAGCACTTCTTAGCCATTTAATTCTCTCCTCATTATTGAAGCCAGCATGAAGCAATTTTTTAAAACATCCAATTAGCAAATGCACAGAAGGAACTGGGTCCATAATTAATTAATGGTTCTAAGACACAACAAAGCAAAAGCAAAGCCAAGGACATGGAAGGCACCAAAAACTGAAATGGCATGAGGAAGATGTCCATATTCAGGACCCCTTCCTGGGGAAGGACAAAGAACTAAACAATCTGCTCACTGATTCAAATCCCTAAAGCACCTCCACATGTCCTGGAATTGAAAAGACATCAATCACTGGGTGACAATCACAAGTGGAACATCTCTCCGCTCCAGGATGAATGGCTGCCTCTGTTGTAGTGGTGAACTGATTCTTTCTCTATTGTTTTTATGAGAGAAGTTTGGCCTCTCTTTCCTCTCACAATTTTCCAACTCTTTTAGACAGTCTTTCTAGGTAGATGGTCCTAACCTCTGGGATTTCTTGCTCTTCCCCAAGCAGAAGTCAAGTTAGAATACCAGGATTTAAGAGATCAAGCTAGGATGACTGCGGAGACAGAAAAAGGGAAAGTAGTAGAGGAATGCCCGAATTCACAGATGGACAGTTGCTCTTCTTTTTTGGAGAAGAAAGGAGGGATTGGATAGAAGTCCATCCCGATCGAATTCTCGGAGACATCAACTTGTTCTCCAGCACACTTGTTCTCAGTTTTGAACTCCTATAACTTAGGGTAAAGTGTAAACTACAAGGGAGTGCTAGCACTGTTATTAGTGAAAGTGCTGTCTTTTCATTAGGAGGAAATAGGGATTCTGTTTGTTTTATTAATTTTTTAAATTGCATTTTAGGTTTTGGGGTACATGTGAAGAACATGCAAGATTGTTGCATAGGTACACACATAGCAGTGTGATTTGCTGCCTTCCTCCCCATCACCTATATCTGGCATTTCTCCCCATGCTATCTCTTCCCAACTCCCCACCACCTGCTGTCCCTCCCCTTTTTTCCCCCGGCAGACCACAATGTGTGATGTTCCCCTCCCTGTGTCCATGTGTTCCCATTATTCAACACCCACCTATGAGTGAGAATATGCAGTGTTTGATTTTCTGTTCTTGTGTCAGTTTGCTGAGAATGATGGTTTCCAAGTTCATCCATGTCCCTACAAAGGACACGAATTCATCGTTTTTAATGGCGGCATAATATTATGAACACTAGTTGCTGCCTGAAAGATTAGAGACAACAAAACAAATATCCTGAACAGTATAGCAAGTTCCTGCATCTCACAGGACATCACCACCATGATATACTTGCTGGTAGTGAAAATTAGAAGCCCTATATAGACCATGACAGTTGTAGGAATCCTTTACTACTTTTTCTTACCTGCAGACTAATTTCCTTTTATTTTTATATTGGACAAATGCCAGCTTTCAGGGCTGATCTCTACTTAAGGGAGTGTATGTAAAACCACTCTATCTACCACAGACTAAGCAATTTGCTTAATACCATGGCAATGGATACAAGTAATGTTAAATGAGAAGGAAAATAAAATGTCACCATGACATTTATAAGACATAGTACTATTGCTGCTGCTGCTGCTGCTCAAATAAAATAATAGTAAATACTATTACGCATGTTGCTAAGCAATGTTGCATCCTCAGTCCTTAATAACTGCATTAGTAACACAAGATGGGACAAACTACATTTTTAAATTGATGAGATGTTTTGCCTTCTTTGAGTAATCAGCCTCAGCAACGGATGGCTTCCAGCATAAAGCAAAAGTGTCCCCTGGCTAGGATATGTATCAGAGCTCAGTGGTAAATTTCCTATTGGAAAGACTAAAGGTTCTCTCTGCTAACCCACTCCCCCACAAAGTCTTCAGGTCTTAAGTAAAAAACAAATAAATTCATAAATAAGCAACATGCTTTCCCTGAAATGTCTCCTCTCTGCTATTGTATAAGTATATTCAGCAAGTGCTAGAAAACTGCAAATTTTAAATACAGTTAAAGATTTGAAGTAAAATACAACTTTAAATATATATCCTCTGATTCAAAGATAATACTGATTTGAAGGATCTTATGTGAGGATCACCAATATTGCAGCAGTCCCAGATTCCGTATTAATGACAACCCTCTGGTTTACAGCTACTACTAGAAGCTTGCTTAGGGTGAGCTGCTAACTAATGACTTCTTGTCCCTCGCCTCCCTGCCCCCAGTTACCCAGCATTCCTGGTTACCCAGAATTCCCAATTATTCAGCATTCCCCTATTATCCAGCATTCCTAGTTACCCAGCATTCCCAATTACCCAGCATTCCCCCATTTATCCAGCATTCCTGGTTACCCAGTATTCCCCAGTCATTCTGCATTTCCCAGCTACTAAGTAAGCATTAGCCAAAAATAGTCTACAAGGAAATAACCTTTTCAACAGGATTTTACCAATGGAATTCTGGAAGCTTTCATCTCTTCAGTGGAGCAGTATTGTGTAAAAGATACTGTGTATGAATGTTATAACATAGACCCTGGAGCCAGACTACCTAACAGAAATTCTGATCACACAATTTCCCATTTAAATGACTTTGGGCAAATGAATGTCTTTGTGCCTCTTTTTTCCTCACTGGTTACTGCAATAATTAAATAAGTTGATATATATAAAGTTCTTAGAGCAGTCCCTCCTTCTGGCTCTGGGGAAGAGCTATTTGAACACCTCCCCATCAAAACAAGCAAATACTCCATTTAGTAAATGAGAAAAATGCTGACCCTAGAACGTACTCGTAGGATCTGTATTTATTGCTTTTATATTTCTATTTGTTGCTTTTATATTTCAGAGGAGCCACTGATCTGATGAAGCTAGAAAATACTACGTTTTGAACTCCTATAACATCAAACTGTTACTAATTATGGTTCTGGGCATATGCCATATGTTTCCCAGAAATAACAAATGTTCCATGGAAAAGTAAGTAGCTAAGGGTGGGAAAAACATATAGTAAATGTCCTTGTTTTTCTTGGCTGTTAACATTAATATAATGAAACATTCAGTGAAAACTATGAGCATTCAACTGCAATTTCCTACCACTTCAGAAGACATTCTTGAACTACTGAAAGTCAGAGACGTTATGTTCAAATAGCATTGTCAAGTAATTTATTAAGAATCTTTTTTCATATGTTCATCACATGTACCCCAAAACCTAAAATACAATAAAAAAAAAGAATCTTACATTTTAAAATTTGAAAAATGTTACTCTGTCACATAGAAATTACATTGGTAGATGCTAAACTAACTCCATGTGATTCTCATTTTCAGAAATACAATTTTAGACTGTTCAAGATTCAGTGTATCTCCTTGAGCTGTATAATAGAAAGCTGTTTTGGTTTTAAATATAATTTTGTTTTTTACAGGGGTTCCCTTGTACAAGGAACACATTTCTCTCATACAGTCTTGCTATTTAAGAGGCTGTTATAGATTTCTTTTAAGCTTCCTTTATTTTACTTAAGTGAACTTGAAGTGAATTTTTACAACTATCTAGTGAAGAAAAATTAAATTATTGATCATGTGATCTTTATTTATAAAGAGGTCATACCAGCCCCAGGAGGCTAAAATTCTGTTTTCTTTTAGTAGATTTTATATTAAAGAACATGTATTTTAAAAATAAATCAGCCTGATAGTCCCATTTATTCTTATTTTCTGTTATAAGTAAAGTATGATGATCTTATAGGTGTTAAAACGTGACCAAGATCTGGTCCAAGCAACTTTGGAGGCAGGAACTGATATCTACAGAACCTCTGCATGTAATCAATGTGCTGCTATGTGACAGTCAATGCCAGGTCCTAGGATTATGATAATGAAAACAAGCAGCTCTAGGTTCTGTCCTCATGGAGCTTATAGTCTAAGACAGCACTACTTTAAGTGTGTACA